CAAACCCCAGGACACACGCCCGAAGGAAGACCACCACCGCACTCCCGCACCGAGCACGCCAACAAGGCTCGGCACCCCCTGGAAATCTCAACGTCACGCAAGTCGTCCGGCTGTGATCTTCGCCAGGAGGATTCCGAAACACCAGGGCGGGGAGGCAGCTCTCCCCCGCCCGGTCCGGCTAGAGGGGAGGCTTCCGCTGGCTCTGGACCACCACACTGGCCCGACAGCACCGGGCCCGGGGCTCGGGGCAGCGTGTTCTCAGCGACCTTCAACAGCAGCTCCCAAGAGGGGTGCCATGCAAGGTGCCTAAGCACCCACCGGGCGGGCTTGGATGGAGACAGTGAGGTCCCTCGGGACAGCCACACGTGGACAGTGCTTCAGAGACGACTTGTGAAGCATTAGGTATAAGGGATTAAAACAAGAGCCTATTAGCCACGAGGAAACAAAATCTAAGAATGAGCACGTGCAACCATCCAAGTGCCCATCAACCGATGAGCAGATAAACAAAATGGGTCTATCCACACAACGGATAGTATTCAACCCTGAAAAAGCAGTGAGGCACGGACACATGCTTCAGCAGGAATAAACTCTGAGAAGTGGTGCTAAGTGAAGGAGGCCCACCACAGAAGGCCACACATTGGAGGACTGTGTTCGTACAACACGGCCGGGACAAGCACAGGCCGCCCAAGCAGAGGAGCAGGTAGGGCGTGGGGGGGGTGGGGGGGTGTGCAGGGACTGCCGACAAAGGTGCGGGGCTCCTTCGGGAGGTGATGAAACCGTTCTGGAAGCATAGAGCAGCGATGGGTGCACGACTGCGTAAGTGTATTAGAAACTATTTTTAAGCGTACGCTTCGAAGCAGTGACATTGTATGATTTTTAAATTAAATCTCAAAAAGCTGTTACTTGAAAAAATAAGCATATACCATAACACATCATCATCTTATGTAAAGGAAAGACTGCGAAGGGTAAAATTAAACTTTTCCCACAACCATGGCTTTACACTTAAAGAGGAAGAGAGTAGGAGTCCCGCCGACCCCCAGCACCAGCTCAGGAGGAACTGCAGACCAGCACACCCACGGCACCTGCCGGCCACTGGGCACGCAAAGCTACCGCAGTCTGCCGCCAGCTTTGCCCTTCCTTCCCGAATGTGAAAACGTCAATTTTACCTCACTCACACTCTTAAGCGCCTTCTGCTTGTCCTCACGGTGACTGTATCAGAAGACATACTTATAAGAACTGCTACTTTACAGAAGGTAAAGAAAAAACCAAACCCACGTCTTTCTTTCGAAAGGGTTCAGAGCAAAATACAACCACTGACAAAAGAAAGGCAGGTGGAGCCTTACCAGGGCTGCTTTCCCGGGACGACAGAAAATGTTAAGATTCAGAGACCCCAAGAAGGCAAAACGCTCAAATGTTCCATTTCACCACAGAGGCCGACTCCAAGCAGCAAAGGGTGCATCGGGCCTTAACTTTAACAGAAAGTTAGATGAATGTGCTTGAAATTAGTTTAGCAGTGACATAGGCGAGGTGGGGAAAACGAGGCACCGTGGTTGTTCAGAAATGCGAAAGCAACAGCCCTAAGGTTACTCACCATAACCTCATTATTGATCAATTTCCCATGGATCAAAGCTCCAAGCAACTACTTAAAAATTAATTTAGGAAACATGAACTCAAACTCAAACTTGGGGCGCCTGGGTGGCTCAGTGGGTTAAGGGTCTGACTCTTGATTTTGGCTCAGGCCACGATCTCATGGTTCATGAGTTCAAGCCGTGCACTGAGCCCTGCGCTGACAGTGCAGAGCCTGCTTGGATTCTCTCTCTCTCAAAATAAATAAACATTAAAAATAAAACAAAACAAAACACAAGACAGGAGTATTTCACTCCATAACAGCGCGCCTGGCTTAAGTCTGCACTCCCTGCACATGCTGTGGGCACGTCAAGTGTGACCTCACGTAGCCCCCCGACAAGCCCAGGAGGCAGGTAAGCTACATCTACTCCAGCAGGGAAACACCAGGAGGACGGAGGGTTCTGGCCAAGGTCACACAGCTGGCCAGCTGGCCGTATGTGGGCAGGGGTGGGGGCGGACTAGCCCTTCATGTCATCAGAGGAGTTTCTCACCAGACAGAAAGGCTCTCTTCGAGAGCGTATTTTCATTCCAGGGCTAGCGCCTGCCCCACCAAAATCATCATCGCCATCTTCCGCTTCTGACAAGTGATGAGTCTGCACACACAAAAGAATCCCCTTCAAGAGCTGATTATGCCTGGACAAACAGCCCCAGACGCTGGTGCACCGCACCCAAAGAGAAGGCAACAGCATGTGGAACTGACCACAAGGGACTGAAATCCCACAAACAGGTGACATGCCACTGGCACCCCAAGAGCCTACCGAGCCCCCTACGGACGACCACAGCGCTTTCCCTTTGTTGTAGCTGAAACACCGTTTTCCTGCCCAGTGCACATCATGGGATTCAGAGTCACTTGAACACACATTTAGGAAAAAAACCTCAGTCTCAGATCAACGCCACCAAAAAGATAAGACTTAGATTAAAGCCAACAGAGGCACCACAACCACATCTTAGAGAAAAACACGGAAGAAAAATAAGCCACAATCCGGGGTTGAGAGACCGCTGAACACCACCACCAGCAGAACAGAGAGCACAGGAGTGTTAGGTGAAAACAGCTCAGACCCCGTACAGAAGGCACCGGGCAGCACTCGAGCCAACAGCAACCTCTCCAGGGAGAGTCCCAGGGTGATATCCACACACGCCACCCTGGGTCACAGAGAAACCCTTCCTCTCTCTGCACCGCTTTGGCACTGGGTCCCAGGGGGCTGGGAAAAAGAAGCTGGAGCCCCGAATGCTTGGTGTTTACGTAGTTTTGAAACACGTAGAGGAAAGTTCACGTTTCTGAGGGAATGACCACGATGCCCTTCCTGCTTAGCTTGGAGACGGAGACGTTAACCTCACATTCCTTAGGAGACCAACAACCTGGGGACTCGGGCAGATCTGCCCCGACAAAGGCAGGAGGACCTCCAGGAAACAGCCGTCTCGCAGGCGTCCAAGGCCCCGCGGGACAGCCACCACCCCACCGGGGAAAGGACACCTAGGCCGCGGGGACTCCCCGCAGCGCGCCCATCTCCCCCTCGACCGCGGCTTCCTTTCCTGCTAATAAACACCAGATTTTGGAGAAACCAAGGCGACACAAGGTATAACTCCTGTCGCCCAAGGGGACGGCGAAGGGGACAAAAGCGTTCTCGCGTGTCCAGCCGCAGACGTGAGAGAAAGGCGCAAAGGGGCCGCGAACTCTGACCGCACACGCCGGCCCGCAGCCCAGGGGGCTCCCCGGCGACCTCTGCGCGCCAGGCGGGTGCGACCGCCCACGAGGGGCCCTGGGGGAGGGGGGTAGTGGGGTGGGGAGAGGCTGAGGGCGCGCACCTTGTGGCAGGCCGGGCAGGTGGGCAGCGCGCTCTTGCCGCCGTGGCCCCCGCCGCCGCCGCCGCCGCCGCCGCTCAGGCTGCTCTGGATCTGCGTGAGCTCCTGGCGCAGCACCTGCTTCTGGTGGAAGCTGAAGGCCGGGTGGTTGGAGGCCATGGTGAAGAGCAGCAGGAACTCATCGCCCGTGCGGCCTTCGTTGAGCTGCAGCCCGTAGTTGTGGATGATGGAGTCGATGTGCGTGAGCGTGCGGTACAGCACGCCCGCCGCCTCGCGCTGCTCCGAGCCCAGCAGCGCCAGCGACACCAGGAGCTTGCTGCGCACCACCTCGTCCGTCAGGTTGGTGAGGCTGCCCAGGTCGGCCGGGTTGTTGGCCTTGATCTCCGAGTCGCGCAGCGAGTGGTAGTCCTTGCGGGCCAGGTCCTCGAGGCACGAGCCGAGGAAGCGCAGCTCGAGCGGGATGCACAGGTCCAGCAGGCCGCACAGGAACTCCACGCGCTGCGGCGACGGCAGCTCCGAGAACCAGCGGTACACGCCGTCCCTCTGCAGCGGGCAGCGCTTCTCCACCATG